AATCCAAGAGGCAAGGCGTATTATTGTTATGGATAATGACCTAACTGATCTAAATATTGAATGGATTAAAGCCCTTCAAAAGGATAAACCATTCTCTATTATCCACAATACTTATCAACCTCAAAAAGGTAAGACATTTCACCTAGCTCCTAATAAAGAAACTGTGTTAGCTGAACTTTAAGACTGGGCCAAGAAAATGTCTTTATTACTTTTTGAGAATCGAAAAAGTGCATCGCTTATCTGTCATCTCAGAAAGGATATGCAAGGGATTGTTCGTGCTCTCAAGACCGATTTTCTGGAATTGAGGATCAAGGAATATCATGGTAAATCTGATCCTATAGAAAAGGCTCATGACTTCAGTAACGTAGAAGAATCATGGAGCAATATTGATCTAGTTGCGTATACAAGTACTCTAAAAATAGGAGTATCTTGCACTAATCCAAAGTTTGAGTGGGCATTCTGTCTCTTTAATAGCTATATAGAAACTAATGCAGGGACGAATCAGATGTTATTCCACATGCGATGCATTAGAGACTATGTTTGTTGCATCGAGCAAAGATCATCTAATGTTACTGTTGAAGAGAAAGGATTATTTCAATGGTTGTTAAATGCCAAACGAGAATGCTTCCCCCGAAAACTCCAGAATAGAGGAATATTTCCAGATGTAGACTCTATTATCCGGAATAAGGTTGTACCAACTGTTCGATTGTGGGTGGCCTATATGTTAGAAAAATTCCGTTCCCAGCGCTTATTTGGTTGGAGAATGGTCGATTTTCTCAGAGAGGCGGGTATGATAATTTCTATCATAGAATCCATTCCTAAGTCTAAAGAAAACGTTATATCATTATCTCAAGCTGTGAAGGCAAATTTCTCTATCGTTAAAGCAGAGGAGATATCAGATGTATCTAATGCTACTATTGTTGATCGTGAGACTGCCGAATTTCTAGAGAACAAGCCAAGAAAATCTTTAGGAGAAATGCGATCTCTAGACCGGCATCATATCATGGAATGTTATGAGATTTCGCCTGAATTATTGACTGAAAATTTCATTTCGAAGTATGAGGATTATAATCATATGAGATAGTTCAGAGCTTATAGGCAGTTACGAGATGCTGGTACTAATAATGAAACGGCCATTGAGGGTATATCCCATAAATATTACAGAGAAGATAGGCTCACAACTGCAACCCGGACTGAGAGACATCGAATTTGCCTAGAATTATTAAGGATTTGCACACCCGCTAAGGATATCGATGATAGAACAAGATATAAAGCCGATGATGTTAAGAAGTGTATAGATTCTTCTGAATCGACATTATATCTCCAGGATTTAGTTCCTAAAATGGCTTGAGTATTTAATAATACAGATGCATCGCGCAGAGCCAAAAAATCAGAATTAAAAACAATTCGAGCAAAACTTGGTTTACTAAATTCAGTGTTGCATGTAACTTATGGGTTAAAATTTAAGGCTGTAGATAAGAGTCTTAGATA